CCAGCCCTCCACACAGACTAGCGGAAAATACATCATTTTTCCTGAGGTCAATCCCAACACCAGCCTGATTTCAAGTTTGTTGTTGTGGCTGGTGTTGGTGTTCTCACAAAACCAACACCACCTTTCAACACCGAACTTGAAATCACTCACTGTCATTCGTAGATTCTCTAGGAACGGGGGTGGGGGGGGGGGGAGGGTGGTATCTTCACTGACTAGTATTAGTTTAGAAATTGTTACAGTTTCATAATCCAGTACGACTTCTCAACAAAATGAAATTAATATTTGAATGTATTTCTACATGCTGTAGAGGAAAAGTCATTTTCAATTTCCCAAAAAAGATTTTAAGTTGTTAAAATGAGGTACCCAAATCATTGAGTAGCTAAACATTTATATAGGCCTACCCTGGTGATTGCACAATACAGGTGTGACTGCCTTTGAGACTTCCATGTTCTATCCGTGTCCTCGTTTTTTAAATGTCTTATCCTTTAAGTTCTCCCCTCTCTCTCTCTCTCTCTCGTTTCAAATATCATTCATTAAAATAGTGCTTACTTCTCCACCTCTTAGAATTGTAATTCTATCAGCCTCCACAGGCTCTTTGTTCACCCTCTCTCTCAAAACAAAACAAAATCAGGTGCCTTTTGGGCCATTGGGATCTATAATTGCAGGAGGGCACATGCTTTCTGTATTTAGGTATGCCAGGTACATGTAAGGGAGGATGATATGCCCCTGGATCAGCATATTTGTTCCATTGGGTCTTTGCTTCTTCAGGTTATGGGAATTTTAGTTTGATAGAATTACGATTGTAAGAGGTGGAGAAGAAAGATCCTAAATAGCAAAGGGTTGGGTGTAACGTTTGTGAAATATACTCCTCTCATCCCCAAAGTGTCACAACCAGTTTACTTGACATTTTCTTAAAAACCTACAGCAAATCTAAGGAAACTTGAATCTTGGTCAGACACTTTTTAATTTGAGATGAATAATTGCAAGAGTTTGTAAAAAGGTCAGTGATTGACACTTTGTCATTGCCTGATTGTATAGGCATGTTTTCACAAATGTTGTTGTTGTTGTTGTTGTTTTGGTTTATAGGCGTTTGTCATTCAGAAGTGAATATTTACGCCTGTACATGTTAAAAGATTAGCCTTATCTCAAGGACCATCTTTGGAAAAAAATGATAATTTGCAGTCGGCTTGCCTGACCTTTTCGTGAATATAGTGGCATGTTTTCACAAAATATTGTGTAGTCTGACTATGTGAAGCACCCGCCCTTTTGTGAATATTGGAGTATGTTTTCACAAAAGTTTCTGTAACCCGTCCTTGGGTGAAGACCAGATGGAACGAAGTATGAATATTTCCTCTATTCCTGTAACATTGTTTATGTTTTCTTGTTTCATTCATGCATTTACAGCGAGGTTCTCTCCAGATGACAAGTACTCCAAACAGAGGGTGACGATAAAGAAGCGTTTCGGACAGCTGTTGACGCAAACTCCAACACCGGTGTACTAATGACTCACCGCAGCTTATCAGACTTTTCGGGACCCATAGATAGAGTGATGTGCAGATTCAAAGCATTGCTTTCAACAGGTGGTCCAATGGAACAGGAGTTTGTGACCAGCCATCTATAGTGGCATTTCCTTTTTGATGCAGAGCTCACACAGATGTACCCTGTACTTTCATCTTATCCCAGTTCATCCTTTCCAGCCATGGCTTCGTTCTGCCCGTCACATGATGTCAAGATGAGAGAGACAGTGGTAACAACGGCAGCCAACAAAGGGATACTATGTGGAGGCTGGTGCCTACAGACTGACTTTGCCCCCGTGCCAAATTAACAGTTACTTGAATTTTTGTTACAGTAGTGTTTTTGAAGTCCAGTTCATTCATTACGAGCCTCATTTTACCGCATCATTAAAAAATTCAATCCAGCTGGCATAAAAGATTGATAAGAAGTGCATTTACCCGTCATTGAAATTATTCAACATAGGATTATCCCTATCATATTGTCTGCCGAGAGCCATAAGTGTGTGCACATACATCATTTCTGTGGAATTTTGCCTCACAAGATCCAATAATAAAATGTTTCTTGATATGCGCAGAAGCAACGGAATCGACCCAATGTATGGTTTATGCCGGTCTTACTCTCAGCATATGATTTATTCCAACCTCACTCTTAACCTCTCCCCCCCCCCCCACCCCTACCCCCAGAAGAGAAGTCTTTACTTGTGAAGAAAATTCAGGAAATTCAGGCTTTTTAAATACATTCCTGTAAGATAGTTTTGATGCTAGGGCAGCCAGTAATTCGTGTAAGTAGATTGAATATAAATTATATTTAACCCCAAAACTCTGGGGAAGTGTGAAGTCCTCCTAACTGGCCTATGGCAAGTCATTACTCTGCATATCATTTTCTCTTCCCAGGTGTAGTAAATAAGTTCCTGTAAAAAAATTCCTTTAGTGCTTTATCGTGGCAGTTTGGCTAAAGCCAGAATAACATACATGTAGCTCGTTATCAACATGCTGCCTAATAATTGTATTATCATACATGTACATGTCATATGGCATAATGTAAGGTTGTAATTCATTGTACATGTATGTATAATGATTTGATGATATCGTGTGTTGCATAGGCTAAATGTTAGTTTTTTTCCCCTTTACCCTTATTTTAATCTATTTTATTTGGATACAAGTCGTGGAGAGAGAAACATTGTCATGTTTTTTTGTTTTGTTTTTTAAATATATGTACATGGAAATTTATAATTTTGTCTGTTTTTTGTTGGTTGTGCATACTGCATAGTATAATTTTCAATTTTCTGTTGTAGAAGAGTAATCATACTTTTTTTTCATCATTTATTTCAGTAATATTCTCAAAAAAGTATTTCCCTTATACATTTATTGATTCAGTTGAACAGAAAGGTGAAAGTTTGAAATCAATTCATGTACTTAATTCTCATTACTTTCTGTGTTTTTTCCCCAAGTGCCTTGTCCATTGGGGCATGACTCAAAATTTATTATACATGTAGGTCATCCAAAAGTTAAACTTCATTTTGTGTGTAGGAACAAATGGGAGAGTTTGATTTCTTTCAAACTTTCACTGATCTGCTTTTCTGTTTTTTTTCTTCTATTAGAGCTATTATTGTTTGATTTTTGTAAAACCCCTAACCTCTTCAAAGTGGCCCAAATTTGATGTATAGGGTAAAAGCTGAACGTGTAATGCAAGTATTACTGGTAGCCCCATTGGCCAAATGTTCTTTGCAACATTACATGGACATGTACAATTTCAATTTGGAAGTGAATATATCTCTGTAACTACTGGGTCAATTTTTTTCTACATTATACAAAATTCATTTTTCCTTCATTCTTTGGCTTTCCAGAAATCCAGTTTCTTTAAAATGTGCAAAAAGCTTGTTTTCAATGTTTGACTAATCAATTTTAGAAAATTAGAAAGTACCATTAATATTTCTAACAATGTAATACCCATCGTGGGTGACATCTTTCTCAGTGAGGGAAAAAAAACAACTTTTTTTTTAGTGCTCACCATCACCCCTGTAGATACCGACACTTGGAGAAATTTACTAGACTTGAATAGCCAAACAGTGAAAATCAGCTTTTTGCAGACTCTAAAAGATGCTGGTAAGCAAATGCACGATGTAAATTTTATCGTCACCAAATTTCTTCACTCGATCAAGTCATCTTCAAGATGAAATTCAAAGATCAAGAGGCCATTCTACCCCAAATATCATTTTTGGGCCACTTTGAAGGGGGGAGGGTTTAACTGGAAATACAAACTTCATAGCGAAAATTTTAATCATTATCCATACATAAATTTACATACACACATACATACAAGGAAGCTTTAATATACAGTATATGAATTTATTATTTTACATTCATGTATAGGACCTCTCAATACTCTTTCCTCATTCTTCCACAACCTCTCCACTCCCTTTTCTCTTCGGGAGCCTGCCCTGAAATAATTGCCTTATTTGAATTGGACCATCTACGTCACTGCCAAATAAGCCTGACCAATGTTGGGGAATCGGACCTAGCCCGTGAAAAGGGCCCCAAAGTCTGGTCAATTTCACTCAATTTACCAAACTTTGTCAGTGGGTAGTCATGACTAGAATCACTAGACAAAAATATCAATCTGGATGGATTGTCATACACCCTCTAAAAATTGGGATTGATTTTTCCCTATTTGGCCCCTAAACCACATTTTGCCAGAAAAAAGAGGAACAATTTTCTATTGCCTATTGGAAAGGGGGTGTAACACTCTCCTGAAAAAAGGTGTCCTTTACCCAAGCTATGCAGCCCCTAACATTCTGTTCAAATTTCCAGTGCCTCGTGATTGCACTACCGGTATGTGAATTTGAGCAGAATTGAATGTCTCTTCAAAGAGCATTTGGGGGCTGCAAAGCTTTATTAAAAGACACATTTTTCATGCGAGTGTTACATCCCTGTCCTGAAGGAAAACTTGTTATTTTTATATTTTTTTTAATAGCCTTACCCCTTCCTTCTGGTAAAATTTAGGCCTAAAAGGAGATAATTGACCCCAATTTTTAAAGGGTAACTGGCAAACCCACTCCAACAGAGATTCTTGTAATGTCCAGTTATACTACACTTCCTTACTGACAAAGTTGGGTGCATGGGGCAGATTAGGTGTGATCAACATTGTGTCTGATTCAGGGGCTGTGATCGACATTGTGCCTGATTCAGGGGCTCTGAAGGCTAAAAATGACAGCTATGGTCGGGCAGACAACCTATTTGGCAATGACAATAGATGATCCAAGTTAACTTACCAAATCTTACGATTGGAAACAGGGCAACTATGTCAGGCCGCACTACTGTTCTGATTCGTTTGGGTCATTCTGTTTCAAATCGCCCTTTTTTAAAATTTCTTTTCTTTTTAATTCGGAAGGGTTTGAATTTATTTTCAAAAATGAACAATTTGACACCGAAAGACCCAATCAAGACAAAAACTTGAAATAACAGGTCTTCTTAATACAGATCATATTGAACGTATAACATGGGATACTTTATTCAATCATAGTTTGTCAAACAGTTTTGTTTTTTTAGTCCATACTCTTGGTGGTTCATATCATATGTACATGACTTTTGTACGTACAAGACATAAGGGATATTTTATCATGTATACAAATATTGAATGTATTCCACATACAAAATTAAGATTAGATTAGATTAGAATATTGTCATAACTTATTTTTCATAAAAAATAAGATCACTTGGAAAATTCTGTCTAATTGTTTTTGAGATATATCACAACTATTATTTTCATACCCATCACCATGTTATGAAGTAGATTACTTGAAGAAGACAAAAATGAAGTATTGTAATATGGCCTAATTTTACGTTGCATAATTCAGATGAAATTGGTTTTTGATGACGAGGGCAATCGCTTCATTGGTGTAAACTACTGGAAGAGTTGATATGTCACGATCCTTTCCCATTTCCTCCGTTGACGTTGAACTTCCCTTTGCAGGTTTCTTCAGTGAGGTACAAGTCTATTTGAAACCACGTGCGTATAAAATTACAACACAAAACCTACACCAATTCACCTTTTCCCCCCTACAAATCAAATATTATAACAAAAGCAGCATTTCAATAGATTATCCATTTCTGTAAAGCTATTAAAACAAAAAAGTGCAATAAAAATACATTCCAATGAAAAAACAAAGAAAACAAAAATTACTTTTTGGCCGGTTTCATTTATAAATGCAGTCATGTTAGTCCCACAAATAAAAAAAAAAATGGTGTTGGAAAGGCCCAACAGAGGGCCTAAGCAACCTTGCAATTTAAATTACATGATATGTACACATATGTATATACTCCAGTAAAATAACGCCAACTCTATCTTGACGCTACGTCCACTATTATTTGTAACCACTGTCGTATAAAAGCCTAAAATGCTATTTTTGTTTTTTGTTCTATAATGTCTGCACTCTATCTACATGTACATTTTCTCTTTGCTACAGACATTTGGATAGTAAAGACAAGTTATAAAATAGATGCATACATATATTGGAGAGGTACACAACATTCAATCTATACAAGCACATAGTCATCATCGTTTAATAAAAAATAATAAATACCATAGGCACATGTGTTATTCAATTGTTCTCCGAAAAAGGGAATTTAAGTTATGACTCCTTGTAGAAACTATACATGATTTCTAGAGAGGTTTTTTTATTGTGTCAACTATACTGCCATTAGGATTATGAAATACGGAGTCATACAAAAAAAATAACAACATGCCGACGCCTATATTAGTTGCTATGGATACAGGAGAACAAGAGAATAGTTTCTGATACATACATACTAAAGTAACTTATAACCATTGTGGTAGAACATATAAAAAGCGATGGTCTTGAAAATATCTACAATACAACAGTAATGGGCGATTTCAGGTTTGGTGTTGGTGTCAACTTAGTGTTGTCTGTAACACCTAAATGATGATTTGACATCCAATTTGGTATTCAGTGTCAAACACTAACACCACGACAGAATGTCATCCATTATCCCTGACACTGCTTGGTTGCTTCCACCCTATCTAAAAATTCAGAAGAACAAAATAGTCTGTCTAAAAACAGTTTGGAAAGCAGAAAAGAGCACCATACTGTAATAACTACCCCTATTTCTTATCTTTCCAAGAAAAGCAGGAGTGAGAAAAAAAAATAGGCAAAGAGAAAAATAATCCATGACTGGAATAATGGCTTAAGCTGCACTGAGGTATGATATCGTTGAAAATAATTAGAAAAAGAACAGCCCTAAAATAACAAATACATAATCTTACATAGTAGATTCTCTAGAGATCTTTTACTTCCGACTATATCAATACATAACCTTACCAATTAGAGTTACCTGGGCCACAGATTTGAAAATAATAGACGCAATTCTTTTTCCTAATTAACTTTATTTCACCTCTAAAAATGCCAAAATAATGTACATGTTTTCGGTTCATTGGGGATTTGTTTTTTCACTGATTCAGCACAAGTTTTTAAAAATGGAGAAATGCTTTCCTGCCATCACTTTTAGAAAAATTTAGAACAAATATTAGACGTGATGAAACTGAAGCGAAAACATACCTTTTTTTATATGGTAATCATAAAGTTCAAAGTACAAACGAAAGTGCTCATCAAAAGATGACTTAACTCAATTGAAAAAATGGTTTTCCTAGCGATCAAAAAGATAATGAAATCATGCAAGGCTCTCACAAGCATGGGAATGATGAACAATTTATCCATTAATTAACTAATGACTAGATTTCGTATTAAAAACATATCGTCCCGTTCCTTCTCTCAGAGCCTAATTATCTTAATACGTAGACCTCAGAGCTAGCAGTGCTGTGATCGTTTGAGGACAAAATATGCACTAGGCAGCAGTAATGACATTTCTTACCACATAAAGGGATAACAGAGTTCCTGGACGTAGAAAAATGTACAAAAGAAGAAAAAAAATATCTTGGAGATTGCGATGACTGGATGACCGTCTTCAGAATATAGTTTTCTTTCCTTTGGCCTTTTTCGGATCCAGTGTCCTATATTAGACAAAGAAAGAGAGAGGTGGTGAAGAGTGAAGAGAGAAGAGAGAGAGAGAGAGAGAGAGAGAGAGAGTGAGTGAAAGATGGAGACAAAGAAACAAGATGAAGAGAGACAGAGTGGGAGGATGGAGAGTGAAAAACAGACAAAGGAGAGGGAGAAAGAGTGAAAACACAGGAGAGAAAATATGAGTAAAACAGATTATTACATTTCCATCTGCATATAATTCTAAACTCGCTACATAAAGACAATCACGATTTATACGTGTCAAAAATAGATTCCACATAAATATGTACATGTAATTAAAATGATTTTTAAAAAAAGGATAAACTATTCATTAAATTGTAAATAAACAAGATGCAAAATATTACATGTCATGCTGTAAAAATGAAATACTTCAACAACAACAAAATTAATGAGAGTTTCATCAAAATTGGATGAAAAATTAGAAAGTTATGGAATTATTAAGTTTTACATAATTTCACAATATGGATTCCAAATGTTCCTTCAATATGTGGATGGCAAAATGATTCAGGTTTATTTTTATCAACTGATCCTGCAATTTCCATTATTCATCCCCCTCGCCCCCCCCCCCCCCTCCACTCTCTAAAAAATATCTATAAATGACGCCATTACCGGTAATAAACAGGAACAATAAACAGTCATGTGGGGTGGAAAAATGAACAAATATTGCAAAAGAAATGTTCAGAAGCTTCTACCAATTTAGTTTGCTCTAGCTCTAGCGTATTGTAGTTGTGGTTATGATATTAGGCAATACAGAAAAAGATTTACTGCAGGAAGTACAGCAAAATAACACAGAGGCTCTTAAATCTGGTTGTTTTTAAGGAAAGGGGGAAGTTCCAGGGGGTTGAAAGTGAAAAGGGATAGGATTTTAATGGTGGCAGGTCTCTCGGCGCAAAAGTGTGCACATAATGTAATGGACAAGAGACTGATTTTTTTATACTTTCAACAAACAAACAAGGAAAGGTGTTTGAATGCAATGAACACTCAAAACAGTCACTGACGTCCACTGCGTTTGTACTATTAAACTACATGCAATTATTTGACTTTTACACAGGGGAGAGAGAAATGGGAAATCCGTGTGAATGATTTTGTTTAAGGTGATCATTATGAACAAGGAACAAAATAGGCATCCCATAGGACCCATGCTACAACACATTCCTACCGGTATACTAATTTAAGACTTCCACATGACATGGCATAATGCATTTATCTATTTTGCTTCAAATAACGTAACAAAAAGGCATGCACAAAGATATTCAACCAATGATCAACTAAAACAAAAACATGTAACTCATGAAAAACAACTTTTTACGAACTTAAATTGAAATGAAAATGACAAAAGTGAAAACAATGGCATGCATACTTCAAATAAACAAATTGTATTAAAACAAAGCCACAATTATGACAGCAACCATTCAGAATGAGATGGAAACAACATGTATAAATCGAACACTCGTCTATACATTTCTTCACATGTAAATCTTGCTCGGTCTCATTCACTATGTTTGGTGTGGTGTTGTGCTGGGCTAATAGACCAGTTCGCAGTTAGCCAAGGCTGCAATGACCCTGAATATCCACAGATCTTTGTGTCCCACTTTGTACATTTTTAATGGAGGTGCTGCATAAATAGCCTTTGTTTCCCCTTTTCAAAGAATACTTCCACCTGTGTATCACGGGGTGCACTGATCGTGCATGAATGAATAATGATTACATAACTTTCATGAGCACGTATTCCGTCTCCGTGTATTTCACAATTTGTTCTGCAATGACCTTTATCTGCTCATGCTCAGACTGCAACCGTGAATTAGCTTATAAAAAGATGTTAACATTTCAGGTTTATGCTCCTATTATGTGTAGATTTATGGAAATTGGACAATCACTTGTACATGTTTAACTACATACAGTAGCTTTTTTTTCCAAAAATACATTTCTATCCAGATATAATTGAAACACTGCATTTCACAGATTTTTTTCCTTCTTTCTCCCTTGTCTTTGAACACACTAACTACTCTAAATGTAAGTGCTTTGATATGAAAAAAAATATATACAAGAAATTACTAATTTGAAATTGTATCTCGACTGGAGATACCAATAAGAAAATATAAGAAATCATGAACGAAATAAAATGAATAATCAATAACAATTTACTGTTACTATGAAGTCTTGTGTATAATTGTTAGTTTTAAAAATGCTCTCTTCATATAATTTAATACATGTATTAGTAAAAGCACAAAATCTACTGTATAATCTCAAATTCAGATCAAGTATTAAATTAAATAAAAAGAAAAAATATATACAAGATTCTATAATTTGAATCATAATATGATTTAAAATCAAATCAAGCAACTCATTTGTGCTGAATGTTTTCTCGGTTAGCTGGTGATCTGCTGAAAGTGATCAAAATCAAACGAACGAAAAGACAACAGCGCCAAAAAATGGACGGCAACTCATAAAGCTTTGGACTTTACCTTTGGGAAGGGTCAAGAGACCATCTCTTGCTCAGAGGTTTTCTATCAGATCACGAAATTAAAAATATTGTTTTATTTCATATCATTCACGATATATGACTATATATGACTATAATAATAATGTGATGCTCTCGATTGGTAGAATATGAAATATATAAAAATCTAAATCAAACCAAAGGTATGTTTTTACCTCATTTCAGTCATGAAATAATACTATGAGTTATGATTATCATGGTGATATGATGTTATTGGTTTGTATGTTGTAATAGTGTACAAACCAAACCAAAAATCATGCTTTTATTTATCTTTCAATTTAAGAACTACTTCAAATAATGATAATGAAGATACTTGGTCGTGGGATGTAATATAATAATGCAATTAAATGTAATAATCAAAGCAATATGATTTTATACTTCTGCATTTTCTGAAATGTAGTATCTTGCTATGAAAGTAAAAAGCTGGGACATGTAAAATAATGAGATCAGTGTGTGTTGTGCCATGTGTATTGTGTTTTTTTAAATCAAACATGCGTTTCTTTGTGCATTTGTTGTTATTCCATTACTGATGTCCTCTGTGAGTACTGCGATGGGAATTAAATGACTTTGCTATGAAGGGTATGATTTGAAGCTAAGATATTTAATGTTATTGATTTGTGAAATACAACAATGAATGCACAATGTTAAACCAAAATGGAAAATATTTCTGTGTTCAGTTATTTGTCATCATACTTTATTAGCAATGGTTTAATTGTGGGACAAAATTGATCATAAAAGGATATTTTTTGAGGATTAATCTTCACCAAGCCTACAGATATTGTAGGTTTGGTCAGATTGTTTATTTCAATGGTGATATTCTTAAATACATGTATATGGAACAATAACAAAGTTACAGTATATGACCTGATGACAATGTCAAATACTGGCAAATGTGACGGTACTGCGAACACTGTGATAATGATGCTCACATTGTTATGATACATGAATTGTAATGAAAGAATATAATCTATGGGGTGATACTGAAAATTTCATCACAGATTATAATAGCTTTTGATGACAAAAGTATTAATGTGTCTATTATTTGGGATGGCGATATACACAATACTATTTTTATTTTAAAATTTTAGATATGTTAACTGTATAAAAAATATACCTCCGGCACCACCTCCAGCACCACCTTCAGTGGCGGAGGCATACAAATGAATGAAATAAGACTATGAATTCATTGTTTTAACATTGGAAAAATAAAACATCTTGGAGCATGACAAATATGTATCTTTTAAAAATTTTCAAACTTGTTTAATGCTACACAAAAAGCACACTATAAGGTTGAAGTTTTTACTATGTAATGTCAAGGGAAAATAAAGTGTCTTGAATGTCCTTACCATACCATATCAACTTACAAATCTTGAAACATGCTATACATGTATGTATACAAGCAATACAAGAGCCTCTATTCAAAGAGGAAGTATGACTAAGACTACCATATATATCAGAGGTATTGAAAGACTCAAAGAGAGGGCTTGTTTCTGCAATAAAAGCTTTAAGTGATAATCATAGTATCACTACCTCCCCCGCCCCCAAGGGTAAGGATACCAAAGATTTACAGACGATACGCCATAAACCACAATAAACTCATATGGGGAGGAGGGAGGGGGTACATGTAAGCCAAGGCATGATATCAAAGAAAAAGACAATTACAACTTTGGTGCTACATATATATATATACCGGTATATATGATACAAAACAAATGTGTGTGCTGCTCTGTGCATGTGCTAATATATTTCTGATAATAATTTGGTGGAGGAGGTGGAGGTGGAGGAGGGGGAAGAGGGGGAAGGGTGGGGAATGGGGGTGTAGAGAGGATTTGAGATATATACGTTTGGAAGAAGAGGCAGCACAACAAAAATTCAGGAACAATTACTTTGGCGAAAGCATTTAAGAAAGCATTGAAAACTTACATATATGTTAAATACAGTAATGAATACTAATGGCAAGGCAGTTAAGGAGAGCAAGGTTATAAAAAAAAGGAAAGCCACTTTACAAATCAAAGGACCAAGGAATAAACCCCAATAACTGGACAATGTAAAGGAATCTGAATCAATATCAAGTTCACATAACTGGTCATGCTTATGAAGAAGTGCAATGGCTCAGTGATAAAGCAGTGGTCTCGAAACCAGGAGGTCCCGGGTTTGAAACCAAGTCGATGCGCTAGTGCCCTTTGGTAAGGCATTAAGCCTGTTACCGATCCCTTGGAGAGGACTTACAGCCATCAGTCCCCTGGTTGCTTACTTACAAGCATGTTTATGCTTTCATAGCAGTCAGGTAAAACAAACGTACAAATAAACAAAAGCAATGCTTATCATGATGATGCAAGCGAAATTGTGGAAACAGGCACGACGAAAAGAGGAACAAGAATAACAATTTTCTCATACAGGAATACCATAAAGGAACCAAGATGCAAAATGGATCTACAAATATGAAGAGTACCGGTATACAAAGGGCCAGATAATTTTGTTTAAATAGAATACATAATAGTGGCCATGGCAAAGGGAGATAGATAAAGGTCTAAATAAACATCAAGGAAAAAGAGAAGGTGACAGACAAAAAAATACAAGGAAACACAGGTGAACTGATGGAACTGTAACAAAAGATAAAGACATCAAGGAAATGTTCATGGCAAACATTGATTTTGAAGGAAGATGATATGAGAATAGGAAGGAAATTTGAGGCTTTTTTTGGAGGGATATGGGCCAGGGTTAGAACATTAATGACAATGCTGGAATAATACAAGACTTCAAGCTTTGACTATATATATATATATATACATATAAAAACAATGATGTTTAACAGCTCTTCACACAAATGTCACTGGTACACTGCACCAAAACACTTAAAATAATCTGCCATGGAGTTTTTTGTTCTTTGCGGAACAATAAACAAGACGAAAGGTGACTTCTTATGCGAATTCTCTGAACATGAATGATTTCTAGAGAACTAATATTGGTGTGTAGAGCGAGATCTGGCATGCAACTTTAACAACCACAAAACAGTGGTTTAACTGGGAAACAGAGAAACTGCATTGGCAACAAGTTCTACAACACCAGTGGTTGAGGGATTGTACCATGAGATCAGGTTGAGCAAACTCTCCCAACATGCAACTGTAACACAACATTTATCTAGGTGGTGTACAAATAGAACCAGACTGGTATTGCTCTGTGACACTAATAGGCAAGCACAATAAAACAGAGGTACATGTACAACCAAGACTTTGCAACATGCAACAACAATGCAACATGCCATCGGTAATCAAGACTTCCTAGGTTCTACCATTAGTTAGTTATGCAGACAGATCCAACAGGGAAATGGTGTTCACCTTTTTTCAATTAAGATTCTTAAGTAAAATTTTGATGCTGATAACGATGAAACCGACTGATTTTTTATAAAAATGGGCCCAAAGTGCCAATAATTTATGTTTAAGGGGCCCACCAATGTTTGTAAACATTTCAGTCAGAATATTTTGGCTGAAAATGTTGTTTGGTTTAAAAATTATTGAAAAAAATTATCAACAATAAAATGAAATATGGTAAGGGTTAAGACCCATAGCAGACCACAGGAGCCCTAAGTTGCCCCCAAAGCGGCCCAAGGGATCAGCTACTCTAGACAGTCAAGAGGACTGCTTTAAACAATTTCCTGGGGTAATAGGACATAGTAAATCTCCATTTCGGTATCAATATGCAATGATAGATTGTGGGTATGAGGCTTTGATAGCCAAATATGTATCAGGAAACCCAAAATCTGATTTTAAGGCCCCAATCTAGTATACGAGATTCAAAGATTTGTAAGTGTGTTTCACTAAAGGTAATTGTTAATTCAACCAAATTACATCATTTTGGGGGCACCTGAGGGCCCCATGGGAGCCTTGAAGCTATTCATAAGGGCCTGTAAAATGGAAATGCATGAAAAGTTGTGTATTTTACTGACTAAAATATTAAAACAAATGCCATATGATGTGCTGAAACCATTAATAATAGTTATGGATGATATAATCAAATACAGTGGACACTTGGATGTCAGTATGGTGGCTTCGTTTCCAGCTTCAAATTTTACATAGGAATCAGCATTTGAAAAAAGGGGAACACCCTTTCCTTGTTGGAGCCATCTGTGGACCTAACTACATGCATCATTACCAACCAGCAGGCAAGGGTTTGTTCCACCATGCCAACTTACGAATAAAACAGCACGGGGAGATTTCTGTCGCGGGGAAGGCTTGACGTCAAACTACGGTTGCGCACAAAGCGCATGAGGTGATGTGATGGTAGTGATGTGTATGATGAATTCTCTTTTGCTTTTTTTTATCCACAAAAAAGGTGTTAGTGTTGTTTCCCCGCGACCTACAGAGGGCGCTGTCAATCGGCAGTACTGCTGAAGAGCTTGGGTGGTTTCATGAGAATGCTCTTCTTCCTGTGGAATGCAATTTGCATGGCCCACAGTCTGTAAATACACAGGTATTATGTAAATGAGGCAAGGTGGCTGGCTGGCTCAGACCTAACCAAGCGAACACAGAATTGACTTTCGGCACGTTTTTATGGAAAGACGTTAATGATCTGTACACAGATACGACATTCGGTCTTCATTCGATCCTCCAAGGATGTTGATTCCCATATAGTTTCATGCATACAAATGGTTTATTGCATGTCAATTTCAAACCCAGAAATGAGCTTTCATCCGACAGAGAGATTATCATGCCCATTTGGTGTGTTGTGAGCTTGGGTTACAGAAGTGGCATTTTTTATACTTTTCAACAGAGCAGATGCTGAATCGTGCATTTTATATATTTTCTATGTATTGATTTTTAATTCTATGCTTGAATAGTACAGAATGATAACATTTGCAAGGACTGTGAATACTATTTTACATGTCTTACATGTGACTTAAGTGAGATGATCAAAATTGCAAATGAAAGAATGAATACGATACTCTTTTTGCTCACTTTTAAAGCATGAGTTCTATTGAAAATGATAAATTTGTGAATACATAGCTTATGAATGGAAAATAAATTAACCCTTCCACCAAATGAGTGGGAAATAAATAAAATGATTTAAATTTGGATTTGTGAGAAAGATAAAAGGAAAGAGGAAATTTGACGCGGAACAGTGTATAGTTACCCTCCTTTCCTTCAATGCAAAATGAAATCAAAATCAAAGAGAAGGAAAATAAAGGGAATTATAAACTCAGAGAAGAAAAATAGTCTTGAGTTAAATTTTTATACAAATACAATGTTGTTCGTACATAAATGACAGCTTGATTTTTATTGAAATGACAATTCCATAAAAGCACACCCAATACTGTGTTCTCTTGCCTTATTTTAAGATGTTACGGGAATGTGGAGTCGTGGAATCGCATGAAAGAAGTTTGTCAACTTATTACAATATCTTGTCTGGGAAAGGAAGAATTTGGGTGAGTCCAAGGTATTTGGCCATTATGGTCACAAACGTAATGAAATAATGAACATGATTAAAATTCTATGATTTGTTTTTGCTTTAGATTTGGTCTGATCAAATCTGGCAATTCCGTGCAATGTGTCACGTTTTATTCATATATTTCATCCATGAATGAAAAATCATCTTCTATTGTGAAGATTTTTTTTATGAGATTTTCAGTAACTCCACACTACCTTTCATAACAATAACCTGGTATATTTACAGACAAAGAGGGCAGTACAGACCTTCATTGGCAAATAGAAAGCCAGAGGAAAGTAGATCCATCGCTCATTTTCTTCTTGATGAAAATAATTTAACATGACCCACAGAACAAAATTCTGAGGAAGCCTGCTACTAAAAAAGCCCTCTTTCAAATCTTATTGACAAAACTTGAGAATTTGCTGATCACTTTTATATAGGTTGAGAGAATTAAAGCAATTTGACACAGAATCTCACCCAAAAGAAAAGGCTTATGAAAAATACAAGTCTGTCTCTCAAATATTCCCTAGATATCACTTCTTGTTTAAAAGAATATCTTATTTTGTCATTGACATTTGTTTTGCAGACAGCAATGTAAGGACTCATTTTAATGATAGAAATTAATCCATGACCTCATTTTTTGAGGAAATTGATAGAAATTGATAAAAATTACTGTAAAGCAGAAACCCAGGGCCAAAATCTTTCAACAAAACTATATCTTCCTCGAAAAATAGAATAAAACAGAAATAATAATTGTCAAACATAATCACTTCAGTCTATATTAAAGACATTTCAAATAGGAAAATAAGGAGGATGACAATAGATTAAATGGCATGATCAGAAGTGTATGATGAATGAAGAAAAAAAAGGAATAAATAAAGCAATATATATGAACTAATTAAAGCAATTAGTCAAGTTGCTATTAAGGTTGAATTCTACAAGCATGTCAATTATATCAGCGATATGATAAATAAATCAACTGTTTCTAATTGCATGTTATTTGCATATTAGATGAGTAGTCATAGGGAGTGAGTTAGAATAGATGATGGAGCCATTAAAACTTTTGACTACGGTCTCTAAAAACGTTTCTACAGATCTATTCAGAGCGCTCATTTCTGTTAAATAATCATTGCACATAAATTCACTAAACTTCTTCTAAACTGCTTTCTGAATAATTTGAAACAGCATCTTTAATATTTAGCATGCGACTTTACAAAATCTGTTCCAGAGGTATTTCAATATCTACATTTCCCAATAACTTTAACATTAAATATCCATAGCTGATTAGATCCAAATTACTGCATCAATTTGAATCTCCTTGGAATATCATTCATCTCATAGAGAAGAATACCACAATATTTGATTGAATCCCATAGAATATTGCAGTAATTACAAAGCAGTATGGTTTTAAAAATGTGCTACTGCATTTCCTGCTTGAAGTTAAACTTCCCTCTACTGCACCCTAATTCATCTTTTTTTTAGATTAAAAAAAAACATGCCTGAAGTGTACTTACTTTGATCCTTTATGTTGTTCGTCCCTAATACGTTGGTTCTCGTCGAATGCTTCCTTTTCCTTCTCAAAGTTTCTCCTCTTCTCGTCCATGTCACGCTGCTGCTGTTCCAGACCCTTCTTCATCTGTTCTAAGCGTTTTTGCATCTGTGAGATCATGGTGTTTATAATAAAGTTAATGGAAATCAGAAACGTTCTGCGATATTCCGCCTTTGCATATTAAAGGCATTGTTTAACAATGTTTCCAGTTTTACAAATCTGAGATGAATGGCCTTACATGTTATCAGTATCTGTGAAATGGTGTAATATTGAAGCCCTAAAAAAATTGCACTTCAAAATGATCATGAAGTGCCTCAAAAAAGTAAAAATCTTTGAGTGACCGATATTATCATACTCATTTTCCCCAATAGACTGTAATGTTATAAAAATTGTTGGGGAAACGGTTTTTGGAATTTCGAATTCCAATCATAAATATCTTGATAATCAGGCAGGCGATCTAATTGTAAATATTATGGGATTCCTGACTGACCTAAAGGTTTATAATTATGATTGCAGCATGAGCTAAATCCAGGAATTTGTTTAGAAACTGAGGCAAAGATACTAAATCCCTTTAATAGTGAAGGTCTTTTTCAAGACAACTTCTCAAAGGATCAGACTTACTTTTTACCTCCAATTTTATAAAAGCATAGTTTCATTGTTAAAATTGGGCTATTTTTACTAGCCATATATGTGACACACAAAAATTAAATATTTTTTATGGCTAACCTGTCAGAGCTGCATATCTCAGGAACACATTGAGTCAATTTAATGTGTGAATTTTGATGATTCCAAAACCTAACAGAATAAAGAATTCTTGTGTACTATACTTTGAACCTGTCCTGATTCATGCTTTCAGAAAGTTTCTCTAGCAATGTAATTAAATGACTAGGGCCCCGTCTTATAAACAGTTGTGATTAATCGCAGCTATGTACATAAGAGCAAGGAGAGTGCAAACTTGCGATTGATCAAGAGGACTTGCGATTGATTCAGATCAACCACAGCTCTTTATAAGACAGGGCTCACGTTTAAACGGTACTCTGACTTACATCGGCTTCTGAGTCTTCCAATCCCTTTTGCTTCTCCTTGACCTTCATCTCAAAGACTTGCTCCATCTCGGACTCCATCTTCCTCATCTTCTTATCATGCTCCAGCTTCTCCTCCTCAAACTGAGCGATGGGGTTCTTAGAGCTAGACCTACAAAGAGAGAGAGAGAAAGGTTTGATTTCCTCCTGAACTGATAAATGGTAAGATTGAATTACATTAAAACATGTTCTTGAAGACAAGGTTGAATTATTTATGAAGATAGAAAATAACATGTGAGATTGCTCTTTCTTCGCATATCAGTTTGAAAGAATACATGTATCACGGTAGAAACCTCCAATGATAACAACTGCTCTACCAATGCCCTAATGTTTTTTTTTTAATGGAGACTGAAGATTCTCAAAATTTTTGACCAAGCATTCATGCTATTCACATGATTTCTGGTAAGACTGATTCACTTTCTTCTCATTGTGATCAGTCCAAAACCTCATGGTATACATAAATATCAATTCTTCTGCTCAACATGATCAGTTTTGGAAACGCCCCCCTCTCAAAAAATGAAATGGAAGCTCTTATTACCAATAATTTGAAAGAATATGTTTTGACAAATTTTGCCGGGAAACTGCCTACTAATTGATATACTTGGTAAATTATCATACCGATCCAGCCTGGATAGATATCGAAAATGCACTTTAACATTGAATATTTGAGCATATATTTCTGTTTTTTGTGAATATAGGTTGAACTATTGCCATCTAAACCTCTCAGTGAAGGCAATATTTAAACAATATTGAATGGATATTTTGCACCCAAACCCCTTGAACCGTTATTTTACCACTACTGGTCTATAACTTTAAAGCTTGCCTAGCAACACTGAATCAGGACATTCATCTCACTGGGACAATCTATGATTTTTTTTAAGAAGTTGAAAGTTCAATTAAAACTATTTCATGCCATCTTTAACTCAGTACAATAGACGCTGAGAGCCAGAAGGTTGTTAACTCAAATACAATTCATATATACACATTAAGAGTGAACACCCTCCTGATTCTCTACAGAATCTAGCCCTTACTTTCCACTTCTCTTTGCATCTCCCGACGTGACGGCGGTGAGCTTGCGACACCTGAAGTTCTCATAGTGGACGTTGTTGGTGACATCTTTGAGGTCTTGCATGTGCGTTCTGATCAGCATGTTACGCAGAGGAATGAAATCACAGTGATCCAGGTTCTCGACTGTTGGCAGCAACAAAAGCAAGAGACAGAATTAAAGAAACTACAATAACAGGGCGAGTACGGACATCAGCAGGAATAGGGAGAAAAACAGTCATGATTCAGACTTTCTTTCACTTTTTATTGATAAAACATACCATAAAGTAAATGACTTGTATTATTTACAGGATTACAGATTTCAAGTGAATAATATGATTAATATAGTTTCTAAGCATATGTTTGTTCTTGAGTGTGTCTTTGACATGTAGGTCTTTCTACAAACAGCTCAGAACAAAAATTGCCCTTCTCAAAAATCTTCTCTCTTTTTTTTTGGGGGGGGGGGGGGGAGGGGGGAATATTTCATTCAGCGCTGGTACATCCTTCGTCATATTGCTTTCTATCACAGTTTGGATTCCATATTCAATGTACAGAGAGTTTCCAAAACAACTTGCTGCCAATTTGAGAAGTATAAAAGTGTAGTGATCTCTTTACACATTACCTTCAGCAATTCCCCATGGGTACTGTCGACCTCTGACCCGCTTCCCGCTGACCTCCATAATGTGGTTGCTACCAACGACTGCAAATGGAACCCGTTCCTGAACAAAGTGAAAATGTAAGGCAAAAAACATTAGAACTCCTGGAACTCTTTCAATACTAATAAAAGCTGAATGAAGATAGAATGCAAATATAAAGGAATAACAAATATTTAACACTTTAGAATTGCACAAAAGCAAAATAAAACCTTAAACCCGTCACAATTCCGGTTCAACATCGGTCAAATCTGCCGCAGTTATGGTGATGACATAACATGTGGACTCGATCTGCTCGCCTATTTAGCTGAGGCGATGAGCCTAGCTTAATTATTGCAAAGTCATTATGGATATGCATAGTCCACATAAAATGATGTCATCAAGTCTTTACCCGTAGCTAGCTTTTAGGTTGAAAACATCTGATTTTCAAAGCTTTAGATTTCAAATTTTCAGAGAGCCGTTACTCCTCTGGTGGACACTAAAATAGCATATAATTGAAATTATTTCAATCTATGGCTCATAAGCTTTCCTTTCAACAATATAATATTCATCTATTTTCTTTTTTCACTTCCGGCAGGGTCTTTAAAGTGTATAGAAAGCAGGTCTGCACCATGGTAATATGCATTTGAGAAAGATTATTTCTTACATTCCAATTACGAAGGAAGCATTTTGAAGATTCAGAGTCATGAGCAATAAAATTAATAAAAGCAGAAAAGCCTTGCAGCAGTCTACAGAAATTGTGAGATGTCAAAAATGGTATTTAAAAAACCCTCTACCAGGCTTTACCAGCCTTAAAATGTGTGTGGGGCGGGGGGGGGGGGGGGGGGGGGTTGAAATCCTACTTGGAAAATCTAAGTTTTTAGTTTTAATAGAAAATCCAGAAAAGTTATCATGTAACAAAATCATTTAGTAATATTACTCTGATGAAAATTGCATAATCATTCAGAGGATATTGCATGTTAGAATTACATGGGTTCATAGGGAATCACAATGCATGTACTAGTCTAGTCTATCCTTTCACCATTAATCTCTAAAAAGAGCACTCATCAATCAACTCTTGCCTGGGGAGGGGAGGGGGTGGGTGGGAGGGGGTCAAGACCTAACATCTTTTCACATAAATGAAAGCGATACACACATAGCACAAAAAGGGCCACTGACATTGACAACCACATCAAAAGTCATGCTGACAAAAGTACTACATAAAAAAGACAGCTAGTTTCAGTTCTTCACAACACAAGGAAGGGCATCTTCAACAATTAATATACATCAGCAAAGGCTGATCCAGATATGGCAAGGTAAATTACCGTAAAGAAAATGCCAAGGTTTTTTTTTTAAGTGTTAATGGATTTGCACGTATTCACATAGCTCTGAGTGTTTTATGATACAGAAATTTGAAGTGTATTACACTTTAGGTCATCATAAAAATGAAAACGGCACGGTTTTGCAGCATCATATCTGAATGAGCCTTGAGGAGAGGATAAGAGGGCATACAGGAAGTCATATATTTGATGTAGGATCTACACTATTGGGAAATAAATGGTTCAGGTTTTTATCCGGGCAAGAATGCATGCAAAATCTATTAGATTTGTAATATGAAATAACCCCCCCCCCCCCCCCCCCCCACAGCTCTTTAATTTTGAAATTACCCCCACACCATGCACAGGAAATCATGGCCAGAATACCAAATGATCTTATATATATATCTACTTTGATACAAGGAGAACATAAGGAGACTATTAATAATTTACATGTTTCTTTCCAATTCCCTTTTTGCTACCAAAACTGAACACAGGCTTTAAAGGAAAGGAAGTTATTGATAAACACAAACACATTGAGATGTAGACATTGGGCATTCTACAGAAGAAAACAGCACCTAAAAAAAAATTATAAAAAAAAAAAAATTTGCATCAGAAAAATTTGAATGATGGTCATGCTGTTATAAATATATCCATCATGAATTTTTGCAGCTTGAAAAAAGGCATTCCAACAATCACTTACTAAGATTTTCTCCTTTTTGGATGATGCAGATCGAGCCTTTATACAATTTGGAATAAAAATGGATGCTCATATATGTTACTTTGCAAACATGAGATGTTCATGAATTATGGCTTATTCAAATCTACAAGCAACATTTGCAGCTTTTCACAGTGGTTCTTATCATATATGTAGTTTGAGGGCTTGGGTATTTTTTTCTGGGGGTCGTAAGTAGATCATAACATTCCATTTATGATAATCATGCAATTTACAATGAGAGTCGAAGGATTACATTTCAGCCATCAAAACAGCTCAATATTGGCAGTTACATGTATGTTTTCATAAATCATGCCGTTTCTTTTTGCAGAGGCCCCCCCCCCCCTTTTTTTTTCAGTTGTCATATTATCAAGAATGTGTAATGGGATTGTGGGTCCATGCAGGATAAAAACCACTGTGATTTGTATTGTTATTTCATAAACATTTAATTTTTGGTTGCCATAGACCTGCTTTCTTATACTTTAGTCAAACTAACAATACAGACAATCGACCATACAAAATATTACGTAACACCGAATTGCAAAGAATTGATCGGTTTGAAACTGGTTGGCAGTCAGCTCGGCAGTGTTCCTAAGGTTTCATGAATCAAATAATAGATTCAAGACCTTCAAATATGAAACAGTTCTTATCTTTTGGAGGTTGAGAGAATGATATGGAGTAACTGTAAGCGCACATGATCCAGCTTTGATTCGGAGGCAGCATTATTTATTGATTTATCACCTTTTTTTAGGGGGGGGGGGAGGGCGTGCTTTGAAGCTTTTATAGAAGTACGGTAGTTAGATGAAAAATGAACTTCAATTAATAACATATAGCCCACAAAATGTTTATGTTGCCATCCCCCTGTAGCTTAGCAACAGTAATCAAACTGTAATTCACCAATTAGCTCCATGGAAAAGAGTGCATCACAATCATTCTATTTTCCTATAGTATGCACATCGGTCTCTTGTATTGGCACCTTTTTGGTCAGCCCAACCAGTACATGGGTAAGCTTAGAGACATCCATCTATTTTTCTAGTTACATACAATGTACAACTGGGCTCGGTTGGGTTAACTACAGGCAACAGGCATGGTACTCTAAGGGACCATTACAAGCTAATTACTCTCTATGAGTCAATTTTTTTCTTCTCATTCCATATACATGAACACGTAAGTACATATTTCCTATAAGGCTCTGTACTTCCTTCCCTCATTATACCACTAAATGTTCACTCTCTTCACACAAACCAAATAATAATCTTTTATAGTTACCAGTCATTGCACCCTAATGAACAAAATCAATATCCTAATGTAATTACTATTACTATTTAAATTATCATTAGTTTTATTGCTGATATTATAGGGCTATAAACTTCATACAGGCAAATAGGAAACTAATATTTTATAGCAATATTTATTAAATATTTGTAGCGATGACTTTATATGGGACAAAATGCCTCGGACTTGACCCCAATACATAACATGCTTTGTTTTGGAAAATGTTATTCAGAGCAAAAACAGCAAAGAATAAAACCTTTCTCGGCATTTTAATTAACATGCTGTACACATCACAGCTTTGGAAAAGCTTTTCCCCTACTCTTCTCTTGTTTATATTGGAAGAGTTCTCGATGCAATAATGCTAAATACTCAAACTGAAGAGTACAAAACAAACATTTTCACACACAATACATATACATGTAATTCCATAATGCAAATATTCCTTTTCTTTCAGAGCTTCAAAACTTTGAAAGTTTGAAATTAAGCATATTTTTGTATGAATAGAAACACAAGTAAACTGAACAGAAAGAACAAAAAGTATGATGCTAATGAGTGCAAATATAAATTGCTATAAATGTCAAGTCATTTGAGATATCAAGCAAACTGCAAGAAAAAGATGATGTTGACTAGTGATATACCTTCAGACTGTTTGGAGAAGTTTCTTTCTCTTTAGGGCCATTCCTCCGTTGCTATTGGTTCGTTCGAATGATCGAGGGTGTTGATTGGACAGGATGCAATCGTGCATCAAAGCCGTTCAAAAAATGGCATTCAAGAAATGGTGATGTTAAGGGCAGGCAAGATAAGGGTGCATGGGTTAGGAAATGGTGAGAGAGGGAAATAGGGGGAGAGAGGGGGAGAGAGGGAAAGAGGAGGAGAGAGGGGAGAGAGAGAGGGGAGGGGAGGGAAAGGAGAGAGAGAGAGAGAGGGAGGAGAGAGAGAGAGGGGGAGAGAGAGGGTAGAAGATGAGGTGAGGGGGTAGAAGATGAGGAGAGAGAGAGAGAGGGAGGGGATGGAAGAGAGAGAGAGAGAGAGAGAGAAAGAGAGAAAGAGGAGAAATGAAATATTTCAAAAGTGAAATATGTTCAAGGCCAATAATGACAAGATAAAAGCGAACAAGCAGATACCCAAAACCCCCAAAGAGAAAAAGATAGCAACAAAGGGAAGATTTAAAAAAGTAAAACCGAAATTGGAATTCAAGAAAAACCACAAATAAAGATGCGAAAAATGAGTGAATGAAAGAATGAGAGAAATATATGAGGTGCAAGTTATGAACGGGGTGAGTAGAAAAGCATAAAAATGAGTGAGGAAGGAAATGAGATGAGTGAGGAAATCAAAAAAAGAACAGAAAACAAAATCGGAAATCAGCAGTTAGAGCCAACTCACCAATGCAGTAATTTTAAAAAATGCATAAAATATATTCATCATGAACATTACCGAGATGTGATTCAAATGCCGATATGCAAACAGATAAATGAATGTAATCTAGCTACAGAAATAATATTATCTATATGTAATTGAATTTTGTATGAATGACAAAATAGGGTTGTAAGTTTCTGGCATGATTCAGGTTTTTACACCTAGCCTAATGTCATTAATAAATTGTCCTTAATTTTAATAGTTTATGTTACTGTTACATTACTTCATCTTGTGATTATAAATCTTTTGTACAAGCTTTAGTATATTCATAGCAAGAAAAGGCACTTCAGAAATATGATATATGTCGTCAAAATAGAGTTAGCATAGAGCGAAACCCAGCAATTTCCGGATACTGCTATAATTATAGACATCAATATGGTAGCCGAAACTTGCACAATGTAATCAAGCCTTGAGAAAGAAATTTGGAATATATACAATATACATTCTAGGAGAAGTACATTTAAATTCCCATCCAGAAAAAGGGAGCAGGTTAGAGCTGAGTTCCTGCCATAAATATGATTAAATTCTATGGAAGTTATGACTACAGAATAAGCAATATATATGCACAAGGCAGGAAATACAGGGTACATTCAAAATAGATTATCAAGTGCAATATCAACAATTGCAAACTAAGCATAAACATACTTCAGGTTTTTAGTTTTGTTTTAGAATCTCTAATTTAGTCTTTACAATAATGCCGGTTTGAAATATGAGGTGTTGGGTAATCCCATCTAGTGAATTTACATTTGAAAAATAATAAATCTAAAAAATTAACTCAATACCTGATGTTGTGGACCAGAGTTTTTAAAAATGATGGAATTTGAAGATAGTTCATTCGGTTAAGTAATGGAAATTAATTCAATGTGAATAAAGAATGAATGAATGATCAACAAATTAAAAGAAAGAAAGATGGAATGATAGACTCACTGTTAGACGTTTATTTTCCTTGTTTTCGTCTTCTTCTTCTTCGATGTCAGGGAATTCGTAGATCTTGATCTTGTGTTCGTTTATTTCAGCCATTATCTGAAAGACAAAAAGATTTATAAAATATTTAAAAAAGAGAAAGATAAATACACCTGTACATGTACATGAGAGAAAGAAGTGGATGCCTATGGCAAATTCATAAAGTTGCAAACAGTGAAACAAAACCAGCAAATAACATACATATAATATTTCAGAGAGAGGAAAAGGGAAGGGGTAAAAACAAAAATAATCAAGACCCTTTGGAACACTCTACAGTGGATCATGTTGGCTATAAAAAAAAAGGGTTTTGTATCAAGCATAATCAAGACATTAAATTTGACTTGGATTATGAAGAAACAGGAAGTGGTCTGATAATCTTGCACAACATTGTCTCAAAGTCAACACACAAAAAAGAGAAACATTCATCTTCATATTACACAAAGAGGTACTATGTACATGTATATCTTGTAGCTCTTTCATTATTTCTATGTCAGTCATTTTTAATTTGTTCACCTGCAAAAGAAAACTTTAGAAGGATATATCAAAGGAGATATTTCAATAAAACGACTATAAAGAAATATAATTTGATAAAAAATTGAATGACTTTTCTTGTCTACTTGTTCAAGAGCTACTGTAGTCCCATCAACACAATCTAAACAACAATAACATATGACCTACAACTTTAATTTCTTTCAAAATGATTTTTGTAATAACATCCATCACCTTACATTTGAGGGAAAATGAATATGCTTCACTTCATTATTCTAATCTAAGCATGAAGAATTGCAAGATGTCGAACTACTAATCGCATCCGAGTCTAATGTTAGAACTGTACATCAACACGTTCTAATCATCGCTGAGGTAGAGATTAGGATCAGGAGTTTAGCTAGAGGTTGTCATCAATATGGGAGGGACATTACCTGACAAGATAAGATCGTCAAAGGTTATTAATCAGCAATTTTTTTTTTATCCTTGACGTCACAGATTTTTAAAGACATTCAGAGATACCCATTGGTTTTACCCCCCTCCCCCAAAAAAACAAACACATGAAGTCTGAATAAGAGACGTGCCAGGGTCTAATGTAGCCTGTAAAGAGGTATTCCTGATACAAAGATGTGGGGGAAAGAACAAGATATTTTATCCCACATGTTACCATCTATATCAAGCACATCAAAGATTTCAGTATTTCTGATAACTGTATAGATTTGACAGCCGTATTACCCCTTGGAATAAAGGAACTATCATGGATAATACTGTATATGCTAAGACTTCCTCAATGATACTGAGTAATAAATCAAAAAATTCACTGAGAACAAAAAGATCCTAAAATACAGAGATGGAGTAATGCCTTTCTTGTTTTCAAGTGATCAAATATAGATAAGGAATATCTCAGCTCACAGAAAGCTCACAAATTACTATTATGAAAAAGTTCTATTTAATTTTTTTTTAAATGTGACCTCAGAAAGGTCTTTGACTCGAATGCACAAGTCACCTGCTCGACTGATGACAATATGTCAAAGTAAACCATTAGAAAATGTGTTTCTAAATACCAACTTTAAGAAAGGAACAAGTGATGATGACTTTCATTATAACAGCGTTCCATTTCTTGATGACAACTTGTCAAAGTAAATTCACATATTTATCTAACCACCAACTTTGAGAACGGAAACAACTGATGAAGGATCTCATTCAAACAGCGATCTTTATCCTCTACGATCCCCTTCCTATCATAATTGTCATAAGAAGGCCTGATACCATCATTATTTCCTGATCTCAACATATCCGAACCTTGATGATACTTGTCAAATATGCACTCATAGCCGCATTACTTTACTTTGTGTGAATTTTTAAAAAAGTGTAAGAAACCCTCTATTGATTCTCTAAATTCCATCACATTCTATCAAACTTGTCGGGCATAATGCAGTTTACAACATTCAATATAAGTTTCTTTGACTATTTAAGAAAGAGACTAGTTTTTCTTAATTCTTGGAACACAATACTACCTTTAACAAATCTAAAAACCCTGTCAATACTTCCCTGCCACCTCTTTCCCAATATAAGCCTAATCCTCGTAGCTTTACCCTCGCTTTGGCTAAACTGCACCTGAGCCCTTCCCGCATGACGTTTTAAACGTTGACATCTCGCGAGGAAATCGCTAATTTCCACGCTAACTTCCCCTGCTCTCTAGGCAGACTTCCCGGTCCATGCCGAGGTTATTAGTATCATAGCGTTTGGAGCGTAACCGTGGCATCAAGATTTCAAGCTCACCTACCATATTGCCATATCATTGGCACTTAAAAGTAGATAAAAAGGGAGGTTGCCTTTGGGGAAAATTAGGAGGATAATCGTGGATAAGTGGAGTTGATTTAATAGATTTTTTAAAAGTTATTTAGTCTATTTAGAATAAGTATGACTCATTATTTGGTAAACATCTCGTATTCATATAAACACTGCACTTTAATAGACCTTCCACAAGTCTTCAAAGCTCTGTACACACTTAAAAAATTAGTATTTTAAAAAATGGGGATCTATTTCCATAACCTTAATCTACAATATCTACAGATCTCTCCAGCCTTATAAACATTAACAAAAAGCCAGGTTTTTGGAGCTTATACATGTATGTATATTCATGTCTTCAATCAAAATATGTAAGTCTTTCAAGGTTCCTTTACTCTTTGTATTTTTTAATGGCTTCGTTTCAAATGTCAAAAAAGTCTAACCCATCTACAAGCAACAATAACAAAAATTGTCGATCTCGACTGACAGGGTTCAATGTACCAAAATCCTGAAGTCCTGCCCCAAGTTATGCGCCATCAATTGTGCTCAAATTACTTGAAATAATGCATCAGTTTCTGCTCTTTATGACACAAAAAGACTGCCATCATTTCCTCATTAATGCAGTACTCGATACAGGATAAAGCTGCAAAAACTCATTGTTATAATAAGAATTAACTTTACTACTACTTCACAAACTAACCATCCCCCTAACACCCCATGGGCCCCACCACTTGTTTCAATAGCAATCAAATGACAGGGCTACATCCTTGATTCAACTAGAGGGGTCATGGTACCTAGGGTGCGTTCAAGCAATTTTTTGAAGCTAGAATCACAAACATGAATCACACAACAAAATAACATTGAAAAACATGGTTACTGCGGGAGAGCGTTCAAGCGATTTTTCATCAACGCTGATTCTCACTCATTTCAAGCCCGGTCACTGCTCATCACACTGTGCAGTTTGACCCAGGAAGTATAGGTCAACTTTCTGTCTGTGTTTACAGTCGACTGTCGGTCAAACCGGAAGCAGGCCAGGGTAATGACGTCATAGAATCATGATTGAGATTTCTGTTTGTTCAAGCGAATTTTAGCGACCGTGATTCTGCAGAATCACAATACAAAACGCATCTTTTCCAGCGTTTCATGTTTGTGTTTTTAAACATGTTTATTTTTACAACTGACGAAAATTTGTATAAACGCAACCGCGTTTTAAACTAAACGTCTTTGAAAACCGTGATTCTAGGGTGAAGAAGTGTCGATTGAATGCACCCCTACATTGCAACCCTGCCTGTCATGACAGCCAGTTAGTAGCTTACAGCCTGTAATGGTTTAAACCCTAAAGTAAATATAGACGCTTCTTGATCCACTTTCCTATCCACCATTATGATTAAACTACCCCCTCGTAAAGTTTGAACCTTTCGACACTTCAAGCAGGGGCATAATCATAATTAGCATCCTCTTACGCACCTGCCTGATTGGTTAGGTCTGTAACGTGATATCAGAATTTCTCAAATGAAGGATGTTAAACGTGTGTGTTAGAGTATCATGGTAAGGATAGCTTAAGAAGATCAAGCTAGTCATTTTATAAAGTCAAACCTTTGTATAAAGACTGCATAGAGGTTAGACTGTATAGAGATTTTAAGCCCAAGGGCACTGTATTTCAAGAAATGTATGCTCGTGACCAAACAATTTATGTATGAGTGATCTTTACTTACCTATCTATTTCATAATTGCTATTTTAATGCCGAATGTCCTTGCAAAAGAAAACTTTGAGCATTTTATTGCGCTAGAGATATGCAAAAAAAAATTCGGATCTCGGCCATGCATTATCATTTTAAGCCGTGGGTTATCACTTTTTTTGGGAACTTCTTTGCACGGTAGGAAAGGCAGGAGAGAATGATGCACGGCCATTTGACCAATTAGATTGCCTACATTCTAGAATCGTTTTTATAAAGTAAGATAATACATTGCCACATTTAGAGTGAGGCACAATGGCTCTGTGGTCTCGTAACCGGGAGGTTCCGGATTCGACACCAAGTCGATGCACTAGTATAGTATTAATGACTGCTTTGAGAGAAATAGTTGTTTTATTACGCTCAAGGGAAGGTTAGAATTGTGCTATTCCCCGAGGCTTGCCGAGGGGAATAGCCCAATTCTAACCTTCCCGAGAGCGTATGAAAACAACTATTTCTCGAATATTAAAGCAGTCATTAATACTTTTATATGCCGAAAAAAAATAGACTAAAAAATGAAAAATTAAAAATATTTATCATTTTTGTCGAAGACGGGATTCGAACTCTTGCGTACAACAAGAGGTATACCGAAAACCAACGCTTAGACCACTCGGCTATGGCCCGCCGTTAACATGCTTGGCAGTTTTCTCCAATATATACATTAAAATGGATTGAAACCGGCTTCGCGTGTGATGAATGCTTCGCAAAAGCTCCATATACGGACTCTTCTTTTACTTTTGCAATGCATATTGGCACGAACTTAGATCAAGATCTATCGGCAGATGTTGTTTTTTTGTTTTTGGAAGTTTATTTTCGTCTTCATGTCAACAATGCAAGATAAAATTGTCGGTAAGATCGATCGAGATTCAATTGTATTGAAATTACCGACCAATCCTTCGCACACATACGGCATCCTCCATCGCTCAAACCATTTTTTAACATGTAAACCTATGGGGTAACCATGGAGGCTGACCAACTTTTTTTAATAACCATGGTTATTAAAAATATTGAAATGTTTTATGCATGGTTACCGAGAATTTTACAGGAACAGTTGAAGTTTATGAATGCAATTCGACCAATCAGATGGCTGGATTTCTTAAGTGAGGTATATAATGCCCTTTGGTAAGACAATAATCCTCATTGTAACAAAAGCCATCGGTCTCCTGGTTGCTTACTTACAAGCATACCCATTAAAGCAGTCAGGTATTAAAACAAAGAAAAAAACATTTCATCATCAGGATTTGTTTTCCATCTCTAACCTACCCTTTTCTTGAATTCTCTGCACTCCTCTGGCGTGAGTGTATCTGCCTTGGCTATGAGTGGGATAATATTAACCTTGTCATGTAACCTCTTCATGAACTCTATGTCCAGTGGCTTCAACCTGTAGCACAAAGAGGGAGAGGGAAAGAGAGGGGGAGGGAGAGGGAAAGAGAGGGGGAGGGAGAGGGAAAGAGAGGGGGAGGGAGAGAGAAGGAGAAGGGGAGAGGGGAAGAGAGAGGAAGAGAGGGGAAGAGAGAGAGAGAAGAAGGGGAAAGAGGGGAAAGAGGGGAAAGAAGGAGGGGAGGAGTGAGGGAGAGTGAGTGGGAGAGGAGCAAGATAATGAAGAGAGAGAGAGGGGAGAGTGGGATGGGTGTAGCAAAAGAGAGGTATGACATAGAAATAGGGTATGTGAAATGAGAGACAGAGAAAGAGAGAAGACAAACAGGACATAGTGATAGGGGGTGGGGGTAAAAAAGAAAGAGAGAAGGAGGAATAGAGTGAAAGTGCAAACAAGTCGCAACAACATATACATGGGGATACGGAAAGAAAGATCGAAAGAGACCAACAGGCAGAAAAGAGTGGATCAGAAGTGAAAAAAGAAAGAAAAAAAAACATCAAATGATTAATAGAGATTCAATGAGGGGTAGGCAAACTAAACTAAGACTTAAATCAAAATGCCACACTAGATTACTACAGCAAACTAATCATGAAGGCGGGCCATATTTCCTGTGTTTTGTCAGTTCCAGTCTTTACACCTCCTACACATTAAAGGTCATTTCCAGTGTGAATTCAAATTCCCTGAAATACAGATTACATCATATGATAGACAGTCGTTTTAATTCTCGATGACAGTTTCTGTTCTTAACCCTACTCATAAAGCTTGCTTAGAAAAGCACTTAAAAGGTTAAAGGGATATTTCTTTTGTAAAGGCTACAAGCACTTGCTTGAGACACTATGAATAAAAAGTTAAAGAATAAAGACACGTTCGACAAAACTGGACCAAAATTTAAAATAAGACATTTCTTGACTTTCGGGAGGATATATTGGGCTCTCAACAAAGCAGTGATGGATTTCTCACAGATGGGCAGGTAATTATTTCATCAAAGTTATTAAATATGTAAGTTAACTGCTTAGGTCCCCAAATGCTGCTTTTCTCTGGTAATTACTGTTTACACATACTCACATGAATTCTTTGCCACAAAATAAATATCAGAAAGTCAGCCGTGCTTGCCGATCTATTTTACTAATAGAGTGTATATTGTGTTGACTGTTGAGGTTGTTATATTGGCGGCTACAAGGTTCCAGTCCATTGGACAATATAGTAATTATAATTATACTGCATGGAACACTGGTTTGTCTCTCATAAACAACTATAGCCATTTCTATAAAAACAAAAGGCACATACATGTATGCTTTTTACTAATGGTACATGTACCTTCCCTAACCACAACCTGAAGGTGCTATGAAGTACAGACAGGGCTTTGTCTGGTACCTAGACATGGTTCACTTTTACTTCTAATGGTACCTACCCACAACCTGAAGGTGCTATGACGTACAGACAGGGCTTTGTCTGGTACCTAAAAATGGTTCACTTTTACTTCTAACACTACATACCCGTGACCTGAAGGTGCTATGAAGTACAGACAGGGCTTTGTCTGGTACCTTGAAACGGTTCACTTTTACTTTTAATGGTACGTACCCATGACCTGAAGGTGCTATGAAGTACAGACAGTGCTTTGTCTGGTACCTAGGAATGGTTCACTTCTACTTCTAACGGTACATACCCATGACCTGAAGGTGCTATGACGTACAGACAGGGCTTTGTCTGGTACCTCGGAATGGTTCACTTTTACTTCTAACGGTACATACCCATGACCTGAAGGTGCTATGACGTACAGACAGGGCTTTGTCTGGTACCTAGGAATGGTTCACTTTTACTTCTAACGGTACGTACTTGTGACCTGAAGGTGCTATGAAGTACAGACAGGGCATTGTCTGGTACCTAAAAATGGTTCACTTTTACTTCTAAGGGTACATACCCATGACCTGAAGGTGCTATGAAGTACAGACAGCATTGTACTCTTTTGTCTGGTATTGAATATCTGTTCACTCTCGACTCTGAATTCAGGTACTCCTCAAATTTGCTGTCTATGTGATCCAAGATCGGTGCCCAACTGCAAACAAGAGGAAAGAGAAGATGGCATACATTATAATAGAAGAACATCAAATTTAAGATAGCTATTACTGGCAAAATTTTGTTAGAGGAAGTTGTAATGCTTTCACATCTTGATAATGCTTTTTTAGTACGCTAAGCAATTGTTTTGTATACTGATCCGGTTGTTATTATCGTGGCTCAAAATATACAAGGATCACTGGGCTAAATGCCCCTCTCAAAATACACTAACCACTCAAATGTTTGAGTGAATTATGCCATTAACTAAATAGCTTCACATTTTGATTATGAAAATTACTTGAAATTCCCCCTTTCAAGCATACATTTACATTACAGTTAGTGTGGAGCAAATGTACACCTACATGTTCAATGTATGCTTTTTTCCCTTCAATTGCTATTGAACCATATTCATTTAGTCCTATCCAAAAGACAAGGTCGAAAAGAGGACTAATAAAAGCTTTACACAATGTTAGTGGTGATTTTCAAAACCCTCTTTTCCTGCTGAAAAGTAATTATATGCCCTGCTCTATAAACGTCAAGGATAAGAAGGCCCAATTACATTTCTTTATGGTACATTGCTCGACTTTATATGTACATTCAATGTATATACTAATATTCCCTTTGGCCTAGATTATCAGTGCAATAGTGTGATACAAGTATAATGGTCATGTGATTCATGTATATATCTACTCTTATAGAAAGTGAAAGCCTGTCAGGCGTTGTGGTCATCCACTATTAAAACTACATATTATATCCATAAATAAGTATATGTTTGATCAAACACAAAAAGTAAAACCTCAACAGCTATGCTGAATTTCATTTTCCCTTCGTTTTAATTGCTGCAGTGGTCAAAAGATGATCACAACATATTGATATACAAATATAAAGTGTGTGTATCATGTCACTCTTCATATGAAACTACCAAGGAAATATTTTTTCTTCGGCAGTTTTCGAGTATCACTCTACCAGAGATAGTTTTAAGATAGTCTGAAAGCACAGACTCTTATCTGAAAGTTACCACTATTCCTAAAGCCTTGAGCAGACCCTAGCCCTGTCAGTACGTCTCTGGCTGCCTAGAACAGCGAACTACAGAGTCTATAGATACGGTATGCTGTCAGCCTAGTTTCACATGGCAATCACTGTCAGGCATAGCGGCTGACAAGGGTTTTGGGGCCTGCAAACTAGTTTCTAGATGAACACATCTCCAGAATAGCATTTGCACTTTCCAAACAACAAAAATCAAGGGTGAGGAGAAGTTTAAAAAAGAGAGAAAAGGGCATCTGGGCAGCTATTTTTGTATTTTGTACAAAAAAGTAAGAATGCCTCTTCAAAGCTCATTTTGAAAATCATATGAAATTATGGAATCATTGAGAGGAGGGAGGTGGTAAGGGAGGAGGTGGAGAAGCATGAGGGAGCGGACAATGAGGAGCGGGGAAGAAGGGGGAAACCTTGAAATAAAATGAATACTTCCTACTGCTGTTGTCTATTTGGTCCCCAGAGCATAATGTGCCTACAATGAATAGGGTATGGGGAGGGGAAGGGGGAGGGGAAGGGGAGGGGAAAGGGGAGGGGAAGGGGAGGGGAAGGGGGAGGGGAAGGGGAGGGGAAGGGGGAGGGAAAGGGGAGGGGAAGTAGGAGGGGCAGTGGGATGGGCAGTGGGAGGGGCAGTGAGATGGTCAGTGGGATGGGCAGTGGGATGGGCAGTGGAATGGGCAGTGGAAGGGGAAGTGGGATGGGCAGTGGGAGGGGCAGTGGGAGGGGCAGTGGGAGGGGCAGTGGGAGGGGTAGTGGGAGGGGCAGTGGGAGGGGCAGTGGGAGGGGCAGTGGGAGGGGTAGTGGGATGGGCAGTAGGAGGGGCAGTGGGAGGGGCAGCGGGAAATGGGGGGGGGGGGAGGGTGGAAAGGGAGGGAGAAAAGAAAAGAGAAAGGAAGGATATGGGAAGGGGATGGGAAGGAGAGAAGGGGCAAGGGAAGAAGCAGGAAGGGGAAAAGGAGAGGGAGCAGAAGTCAGAAGAGGGCAAGCAGAAAAAGGAGGAGAAGCTGGGAGGGAAGAGGGAGGAAAAAGAGGAAATTAGAGAGGTAGGGGGTAAGTGAGGGGTAGAGGCGAGAAAAGGTGAGGGCAAGACGAAAGGCAGGGGTAGAGTAGGAAGAAGGGGGTGTGTGTATTAGAGAGCATTGTTGAATGAATGTTACCAATTGCTGTTGTCTACTTGGTCCCCAAAACCTGGTGTGTCTACAATGGTAAGCCTGAGTTGAACTCCATTCTCCTTCAAGTTGGCCTGTGATGTTTCAACCTGTACACAGAAGGAAAAAAAGACGAAAATTTGTAAAATCAAAGATCAGTAATTTTCATCTCAACAAATTCTTGCATAGTCTACAAGACATAGATTCTGGTATATAATTGGAAACTCACACCTTCTTTTATACTTTTTAAATTTAATCAAAATTGTTGTACACGTTTCCTTAAAATTGACAATACAATTATTTTCACATTTTACCTTATCATACTTTTCATGACCAAAAAAGACTAATACAATAGTTACAATGACCATGTGTAAATATGATTTGTTATATATTGAACTAATCTAGCAATTTGTACTTTGTGTAAAAACTGCAGTTAACTTTAATAATCATAGCCCCTCTTAATAATTGGTCACAATCTGGGCAATGTTTCATCTTGACAATCCTAATCAAAATCCCATTGGAACGCTTGTTAAATTTGATAAACTTGTTTCAATTCGCTGCCGGCGAACTTGTACTTAGGACTTTTTTGTGGAATGCTGCCTGGGTCACTTCTCCAATTACGAACATTTTCAATCTCCCCTCTAATATCCTCCGCTGTCATCCTAATTTCCTTTCTATTATTCAATATTGATAGAGGTGTGACAGTAACAAGGTAACATGCTTCAGAGTGCCCGACAGAACGGCACAAGTACCATCTTTCATCAATATGAAAACTGTTCAGTTTTGACTGCTGAGGTAATATCATCACTGTGAGGATTTTACACCATCTACAGATAGAAATGTGATGAGCATATACTGTATGCCATCAAAGAATTTTTTTCCCCTGAAACGCACAACCATTGTCTAGACACCCCTTCCCCAATGCCCAAAGCCTGCAGTGGCCATATGGCCTACAGCTACCAAACTAAAAGACAATCAAATTTTTTATTTTAAAGGGGAAAAAGAAGAAGAAATGATAGACCAGATAAATTTATTCTATTATTTGATGCCTTTAAAAGTGAAAAAAATCTTTCTCCATAATTTCTACTGACATGTTTATGATTTGTACGCTATTAAGAATTCTGCAAAAGGAAACATGAGAACAATTCACTGTATATTAATCTGGGTCACCCTAACTGGAATCCAGACAAGCAAACAAATCATTCAAATTTGGTTGCCCTGGATATCTGAAAGGGCAACTGAAAGTTTCAGTTTAAAAGTGTCATGCCCAGTCTTTACATCCTTCTGGCTGGCACCACAGGAGCTTCATCTCAGGCAGCAGATATTGATAATACCTGATGACCTCACTCACCTAAGCTTACCCCCCAACATAATAATAATACCTGATAGTCACTTTACAGTGTGCCCATCATAATTAAATTACGGCGTAATAATGTTCCATGCAAATATGATTAGATCATGTCCATGATTAGATATAGCAGATGGTACAGGGGGGAGCTCCGAAACAGTTCCAGACTTGTAATGTGATTAACACACATATGGGTGTTTAGATGATACCTGGTTGATTTTTAAGCAAGGACCCGACAAGTAAGCTCTTTGGCAGTAATTTGATTGAGGATCAGAGGATGGTATGGATTGACTTTGTTATTGGTTGCCAAGAGTCCAAGGGACAACTAAAAAGGGACAAAGAGAAAGATTTGGTGGACCTAACCTTGTACAATGTTGCTTTTAATGTTATTACAGGCAAACAAATATTTCAGTTACTGTCTGTATCAAAGAAATGGGCAAGATTTTAAAAGATTTCAAAAGATTTAAAGGCAGATTGCACTCCTGCAAATTGCCAACAACAGCTATGTAGATGCACTTTTCTATTCATTTCCACAATATGAAACAGAGAAAATGATAATAATGGACAAATATTTTTATCTTGAATGAGCAAAGTGGAAACAAAAGAGTTTGCTGGCCTATATTGACAACTGAAATTAACAACAAATTTGTCATAAAATAAATAGAAATCAAGGGAAGCAGGATTGTTATGACAACCCTGTTTAGGAACAGTCATGGTGTCATGAATTCATGTGGCTTTGTGGCAAAGCATTTGTACAGTATGTATCCCCAGACTTGGCATAAGATTATAGGTTCCACGAAGTTGAAATTTCAACAGGAAAAGCTTGTCACACAGAATAAGGAACAAGACCGAAATGCGCTTACAATGCGGTTTTAAAGAGAAGAATTTAAATAGAATACTATTTCATCTGCATGTTTTGATGTTGAGGGGGTGATGAGTTGATGAGAATGATGATTATGATGATAGGAGTGATAATTATGTTGATGATGAGAGTGGTGATTACTATGATGAAGATGATGTAATTACAATAACAAAAATAATGATGATGTATTTGAGTGGGCATGGTCATATGTAGGGGATTGGGTGAGGGATTTCCCAGCCGTTGCCCGGGCAACTAAGGTTCAAAGAACTATTTCAGCTACTGGAGACAATTATAATTGGCATTAGAATGGCAATAAATAATGCATTAGATACGTAAGTAAAGCGTACTGAAGAAGATCATTCTTTGAGGATGACTTGAGATGGCATGATTCCTACTGGCAGGAACAAATCAAAACATCATTCCGAAGTAAAAAAGAACTATGAGCATGTCTACAACTAAACATGGGGAAGCTCTCCAGCTAGAAAAGAAATTATTGAGATGAAGAAGGGACTCGTGAGAAAAATCTAAAATGCATCGTGAAAGATGAGCCTTCTTGAGCGAGGGTGGAAGATTACAGGTCATACTGAGCAAGTATTTGTCTCTTCGCGGAGGTAACATGATGCTGGGTATTGTTTTTACTGGTACTGAATACATGTATATTTAGCTGATTCCCATGAACATGTACTAGCTGCACCAGTCAATGTTTATCAGGATAGATCCGGGATTTTGTCAAAAAGGGGACACGATAGTGACGATATTCCTTTAAAAAAAAATTTATCACCTCAAAAGGGGGAGGGGACATATTCTTGGAGCTGTTTACCTTAGGTAAACCACTTGAGTTTAGAGGAGGGATGGACAGTTGCCTTAACATTTAACAAAAGCTTGTCAACATTAGTAACAATATATCCATATTTGACCATCTGCCAGTTGATGATTAATAGTACCATCACTATCATATACATGTAGGTACATTGTGTAGAGCACTTGCTCCGTTCATCATAACAAAGCGATGGATATGTATTGTATCACTGCCAGTCATCCTAGCCATCATGATGCATACAATGTTTGTCTAGCAGAGACAAAGAGACCAATCAATCCAAATATGTATCAGCCAATGTTGGAATAGTCTACTACCTATACCGATTCAGACCCCTCCATGACTGCCCTTGGGGAGAAGCACCAATAAATACTGGAAGATATCATTGGATGACAATAGGCCTGTTTTCATCAGCTCGAGTTGGTCAAATAACCGCTTATGGGTGATCCGTCTTCATCAGCTCAAACTAGAGCTCGAGAAATTTACACTAATACCAACTGACACTAAGTCCAATGGCTTCTATTGGTAAATCAATAATGATAAATCAAAATCAAACAACACACCGGCTATCAGTCTTTAATTAAGACGTCTTCTTTGTTATGACGTGACATTTTCGATGTAGCAACGTACCGTACCAGGACTGAGTCATACATACACCTGACTGCATTATCATCATCATCATCACCACTGGATCGGCTGAATTATGAATTATCATGCGAGGTGTAATGAAAAGGGACGTGCTCATCCCACCCTTGTCATACATGCAATACACACTGAGGGATCATCTTGGTTAATTCCAAGAACAAGGTTACCCATTAATTGAAACTAGAAATAGGGTTGCATGGTTCTTGATTAATTAATAATTAATCACTGTCATCAGCATTGGGTTTGTGACAATTACATGTACACACTTAATTTCCTAGACTGTACATACATGTAATTAACTTAAATAAATAAAAACAACATTTAAGCAGGGATAAATTGATATTACGTCTGTTGATATCATTTTGATTAGTTCCTGGTTTATCCCAAAACATCCAGACAGATTATGCTTTTTAGTCAATCAAAAAAGTATGTATATCATGAGAACTTCAATATTAAATTATATCTTCAAATTTTGGGGAAAAAAACTTGTATAAAATACTATAAATGCATGGGTTCTGGAATCATTACTAAATCAAGCCCATCTAAATACAGGTATTCTAAACGGAATAGTCAATATTTTTGCTGTAATGTCCGACCTTACAGTAGATATTAAAATACACGAAGTTGGCAACAAAGAATAGTAAAAACAGTCCCTTTCCTCTGTCAAACAATAATATACATCATTATTTTGATGAATATATAGTGTGCATTATCATTAGTCTTGTATTGTACACGTATAAACTATCACTAACAAGCCATGTTACAAGGACCTGTATTTTCATTCCTACACAAAGTTCCCCTCGGGACCTCCAACGGTCAAAGACGACAGTTAATAAGATTATACCATCGTGTGGAGCATACAACTGGGAATAAGGCCCAAGCTGCTGCAATGAGATTATACTATTTAATTCAATATTTCATTCATCGCTCCTCCCCTCTCTGCCCGATTATCCGCCATCTATACCTCCTCATCCGTTTATCTATTGTTAAGTTCCTACCAGGCCGCCAGACATAAGATTCCTGTTTTATAGCCAGGATAAAATTGTTTCCCAAAAATCCTGGTTTCTTTTCTATTCAAGGATATTAAATAGATGATCATGTCTGTGAGTATTGTAATTTTCTTTTCAGGTACTATTACAAATGTCTGGTGTAAAATGTACAGAGATGTGCATAATTCTAGGTTACAAACTTATTTTTGATTTGTGTTTTGCATTAGAACTACAGTAGTACCTAATGTTTTATCTTTGTTTTGATTCCAAGGGCATGATAGATGAATATACAATTGTTGTTTATATGCGTAGTTATATCCAAATTTCATGTTTGTTTTTTCTTCATTATCTTGCTATTCATAACAGCTTTATAAATGAAGTTTGCTTCACAGCCCAAAATAAGGTCAAGATGCAACTCAAAACTTGTTTCTTGTTAATATGTAAATCCG